GTAACGAAGGCTATATTCTGATTAATAAGATATAAAAACGTCCACCCATGCGTAGCTGGAATAAGCCGCTAGTGACACCATAATTAATTCCATTTTAAAGAATTTCCGGTAACACTAAATAAGGTAAGAGTGCCGGAAAGATCAGTAAAATATTGAAGGTGACATTTCTTGAGGTGTGTGCAGGAACACGCCTGCCCTGACCTACAATTCACAATCACTAGCTGAGGCCACACTTGTATGACATGCTACCGTTTTCCTTAATTATTTTTTGAGTGGCAACACAAAAGTGTGGAATGTTGTCCATAGTACAGTCGAAAACTAGAGCATAGTAACTGAAACAATCTAAATTATTATTGTTACTATTACAAATATAGGGATAGGTTCCAGCAACAGTTTTGTACGTTAATTTGATAATGTTTTTTTTATAAATCAATGGCTCCCACGTACATAGTCGTAAGTTCGAAAAACAAACCCTACAGGACCTAACTTATGTCAGTAGCTTTCGCCCACGACTCCGTCCGCGACTTAGAAATTTAGTAACTCAGTAAGAAGCCTATTTGTTCCAGACTATGTTTTACATCTTTGGCAAAATTCATTGAAATCCGTTAAGCAGTTTAAGCTACAAACTCTAACAAACATCCATACATATTTTCGATTAATAATATTAGTAAAAAGTAAGAAGTCACATAGTAAGTTTTCTCTGCCAAATACTTGTAGAAAGATATTATAATCTCTGATTTAAACAGAAACATATGATTTTACGAAGGTGGCATTATTTCATTAAATTTTTGTCATATTAAAGTATTCAAGCTATTAAAACGTAAAGAATTTCTCGCGTATCATTTAAATCGTATCGGTTCCGTTCAACCGATTTTGAAGACACGCTCCATAATGTTTAATCGATTGCTCTATTCGATGCCGTTCGATAATCGAGTAAATTGGCTCCACATCTTGCATAACTTAGGAGTCATCGCATCATGTGCTTACATCTCATGACGCCATATTGACAGACCGAATTACAACATCACGATGCGAATGCACGCAAAACGATTATAACATCGATTAGCGTTAGTACAGTCGAGGACATTTATTTCCTACCCATTTGAGTAAAATGTAATTTGATTAATGTTCTTGGATTTACATTGAAAACTTTTCATGACTTACTCAATATGAACTAAATAATTTTGATTTGTAGCCTAAGTGGGAAGCAAAATTAATTCCGTGTCTACATACTGTAAAGAATCTGACAGACTATGCAAAGCATTATGAGAAAATTGAATCTAATTTAACAGCTATTTTCAAATATCTTACCAACCCAAATATGATATCAAGGAATCTCTCTTTAACGTTAGGAAATTAAATTTCATGTTTGAAAAACATTACCTAAAGAAAATGCGTAACTATTAACGTAAGAATCCATCTAGAACCATTTTCGCCTCTGTGGCATTTTTAAATAGCGTTTTTAAGTAATTTGCTTAAAATTAAACGAATCAATAGATTTTTTTTAATTCACGTTCCATTTCATTGTAGATTAATTCAAGATAAATATAAACTTCAAGACGAAAGTAATCTTTACTCATAATATTACAAAGAGGAAAACTTTGTTTGTATTGAAATAACTCAAAAACTACTGGTCCGATTTCAAAAATTCTTTCACCATTAAAAAGCTACGTTATCAGTGAGTAACAGGCAATACTTTTTATTATTTTTTTAATTTTACGAGGGCGTAGTCGCGAGCAACAGCTTTAAATATAAATTTCTTTTTCTTCGTATTATATTACAACTGGATTTCAATTAAAAGGGACGCAAATTATTGTACATGTTAATTTGCATAATAATCTATAAGGTGACTCGCTCAGCTTGACTTATATAAACAGTTGGGTTTTTTATATCTATTTAAACGTGAGAAACGACAAATCAAACAATAGTTGTAATAATTAAAAGTTTATAAGAAAACTAGGCAAAAAAAGGACAATAGATAACATAAAGACTTAGGTAAAAACGCGATATAAAGTTAAAGTTAAAAATAAACTGAGTATAAGCAAATATTAGTACAATTTTAGCAAATACTCAGTTTATTCCTAAGTTTAACTTTATAGTTACGGCGTTTATTTGTAAGGCTGATAGAGATTTAATAACTATGTTACTCTATATGAGACTAGATCCTAAACGATCTACATTTCAATGGTTCCTACGTAAACCAAAGTTTGCAAATGCAAAAAAACTTTACACATTAACACAATTTAGTACGATGCACGAAACATTACATACGATGGACAAACGAAATTTACAGTTCTCAAATACGTATTTCTAACAATACTTCAATATACATAAATTAGTATTATACAAATTTATTCGAAAAACACGTTACCGATTAAACTGCCCGTCATTCTTTTTAATATTAAAACAATATTATTTACTAGCTGTTCCCATGCGACTTCATTCGCATAGAATTATAAATATTTCATTTCATTTTATTGTTCACATTTCTCAAATTATCAATTGCAAATGTCAAAATGACATGACATGATGTCAATCCATGGCGACCTTGTTTTCTTGATGTTGGCAACAACTTATGGTCTCTTTCCCACATTAGGGTTTTATCCAAAATATTTACCCCTATGTTTAACGGCGTGAAAATAACCTAAAGCGTGACGTAAGTGTAGGGCTTTTTATTAAAAAAGGAGTTATTCAAAAATACGCTGTAATTGCTGACATCTTTGCAACAAAGAAGTGTGTGTTTACGCTTTATTATATAAGTATAGATTAAATCCGTTACTATATTTTATAAAAACGTAAAATACTTGATATAGCCTGCACAAAACTGGTTCCCAGACGTGCAAGGATTCTCGGATTCCAGGGACGGAATGCATCTAAACGGGATTCATTTTAACGAGTCTATGTTTATGTGTACAATTATTTATTTACTAAAAAAAAATTAATGCGAAAGTTTAGATGGATGGATGTTTGTTAGAGTTTGAAACCTAAATGGCTGAACAGATCTCGATGAAATTTGGCATTGACGTAGGTGATAGTCTGGATGAACACATAGGCTAATCAATTTTGTTTTTTTGAAGTCGCGGGCGAAAGCTAGTTTTATAATCTTTGGCTTTTTCTATATTTGAATCAAATGGTCGCCAGTTACATAAGCAATTTAATGTGTACACACTGGCCATTTACGACCAGCCTGTCATAAGAGACAAACCTACGTAGTTACTACAAATACCTAACCAACCAATACGTTACGTACAGCCTTTCAAGGATAATGGTTTTCACGCGGACTTTTAAATTGTAACTACCGGTCACTTTGCAAAACCAGTTGTTTCCGATTTGACCGCTTTGTAAACGCCGGTAAGTAGCTAAATCACTACTTTGACGCTAAAATATTTAGATGTAATGAATCCGTGATATAAGCCCGAAGAAAGTATGCATGTTATATAGCTTTAAAGGTATAAAAATAATAAAAAATATAACCTATGTTACTCACTGTTACGTGGCTTTTAATGGTGTGAGAATCGAAATACGCCTTGTAGATTTTGAGTTATTTCAAAACATACAAAAATACAAATCTTTCCTCTTTACAATATTAGTATCTACAGATGTAAGAGAATGTAAGTAAGAGAGCGAATTTTGATATGACGACTCTATATGTTGAAGAAAGTAGAGGTCTTTGACAAAAACTATACCAGTATGTATATCTATTAACAAATGCTAGACAAAAAGTGTATTTCACTTGTATATACTAATATTACAAAGAGGAAAACTTTGTTTGTTTGGTTGTAATGAAATAACTCAAAAACTACTGAGCCGATTTCAATAATTCTTTCACCATTAAAAAGCTACGTTGTCAGTGAGTATGGCTATGTTTTATATTATTTTTTTAATTTCACTCAGACGAAGCCGCGGCCGAAAGCCAGGCCTAAATTAAATTGGACTAATTTTATTACGGTTACCAACATCTTAACCAACATCTTACCAACATCTTGTGAACAACTACATTGCACAGGATTCGAACCTTGGACTTTAGTCGAAGGCGAAATAATTGACTATCGTTACATTTGTTTTCTGTTTAATTAAAACGCTATTATATCACTAGCTGTTCCCGAACGACTTCATCCGCATGAATTTATGAATATTTTATTTTATTGTTTACATTTGTCAAATTATCACTTGATAATGTCAAAATGACATAACTAAGTATGGCAACCTTGCTTTCTTCATGTTAGCAGCAACTTATGGTCTCTTTCTCACAATAGGACTTTTATCCAAAATGTTACTCCCTAAGTTTAATGGCGTGGAAAAATATAGCCTGAAACGTGACGTAAGTGTAGGGTTTTTTATTAAAAAATGAATTATGCAAAATATGCTGTAATTGCTGACATCCTACGCCACAAAGTAATGTGTGTTTACGCTTTATTATATTAGTATAGGAGCATAGATATGGATGAAATATGTAAACACAAACGATCTTAAAAGTATAATAAAATTAACAATGACCTGCAATGATAATTAAATAATTATAAACAAAATGCCAGATGAAAGAAGATCTAATAAAAACAATATGTCTAATCAAAGTAGAGTCAAATGCATAAAATATAAACAAAGTAAAGGAATAAATAAAACTATAAAACTCGTTCATTTACAGTTCAATTACTTTGTCAATTTACATGAGATTTTAAAAAACACACAGTACTTCGAATTTATTATAAAAAAGAAGTTTTTAATTTAATTCGTATGACACAGAAAATGCACTACATATTAATAGAAAATAAACAATTATACAAAGCATAAAGTTTGTTTTCAATAGTAAATTGAAAGTATTTGCACTTTCTAAGACCTTAAGATGCTACAAACAAAGCCATACAAGTCTAATTAGCGACCCTAAGGTAAATGATAAGCCAGTCTCGTAAAATACTTGCCCCCGCCATTACGTTCACAAACAAGAAAGAATCTATTCGTACCGTTAATCAACTAGCAAATAACAATTAGACGAAACTAACCTCAAAATCGTCCAAATTCAGACAAGAGTGTTGATTGTCACAACGAATGCAGTGAGTTATACACAAGTTTTAAAGTTTCACGTAAAGAATAAACGAGACGCGAGCTACCTCTCGCCAGTTTACACGCAAACTGACGGGACCGGCTCACTCGCTGATTGCTGATCTGTTGTTGTGTAGGGTGACAAACGTTTCTGAACTTCAATAGGACATTCTTATTGGAAAACAAGCAAAAATTTTACCAAGTAATCATTCTATAACCAGCAGCTTTCACTGGAATGTCTTATTTCGACTACCGTAATTCAAGTTCGTCCTAAAATAGTCGTAGTAGAAGTAACTTTTGCATGAGAACTCGCCTTAATAGCTTAAATATCACAACCCGGTAGTGTATAATGATATTATCAGTATGTTTAATAAAGCTGGCCGGATATATTCAAGAGATATGAAGGAAACAATAAAAAAGTAGCCCCTTAGTAGTACTAGTCCAGGACCATACTAACTTATGGTCCTCCCCTGTCAACGCATTATGAAGTTCTTATGGAATGGTCTTATTTCGTTAACCTGTAATTTTATATGAACAATTATGCACAGTAATTGTAATGCCTAGTCACCGTAGTCGAGTTCGGTCATCAATGATTTGCTTTCCTCGACGGGCCTCGGAGTGGCCAAACCGCCGCTCCGTCTCGCAATGTGAACAACCGCTTTTGAACAACGCATTTTACCGGTAAAACTTCTGATTCATGTTAAATTCATTAGCGAATCATAATTATATACGCTAACCATTCTATGAGTAAATTACTTCGTTGTCCTTGAAATGGTTTAACTATAAATGTCGATGATGCAGACTTCAACGTGAGATCTTATTAGCAACTAGCTATTGTCCGCGTGGAATCAAAAAAAGACACTTATTAAGTGTCCTATGTATTCTTCCAGACTGTTCTACATCTGTACCTTTTCATGGAGATCACTTCAGTCATTACGGAGATACCTTCTCACATCAATGGATCTAAACTTTCGCATTTATAACATTAGTAAGATAAAGCATGTTTTATTCTCCAACAACTGAATTATAAGAGTTTCTATGACGAATTAATTCAACCAAATAATTTAACCCTTTTTAGTGTCATAACAGATCTCATTTCAACTAGAATTTTTAGGCAAAATGCCAAATATTAAGATGTATACCAGCTTTGATTATCGTATTGATCAATGGCGTCACTGTTCAGAAATCTATGAAATTAAAAAGAACAGCTTTGCAAACTCTTTTTTTTACGATTGCATTGCGACTGTTTACATTCTGAAATTTTAGGCAATGATGCCTGGTTATACGGATAACCTCAAATTATTGTATCCTAATGAGTAACGACCACTATTATTGGATATTCACGATCTTCGCTGTTAATATAATATACTAACAAAGATACAAAGTCGAAAAGTTCCAGATAGCGTTCATAATAGTAGGTACAAGTTCAGTTTATTACGACCTCGGGAATTCCGATGAATGTGTCATAATTGTTTGTAGATTTTACAAGCGTTTTAAAACACCATCTCTGGATTCCGATTAATTTACAATCTTAAACACAATCATAGAACGCTATTGTTACGCTTGAGATCGGTTTTCAATGTAGATATAAACTGTATTTCAAAACGACGTAATTTTTCTCCTGCTCATTTGATGTTTATACTTGTACACCATAATGTTATTTCGACAAGCTATGAAAACACCATACAATTATTTTTCTTTTATACATTTCCTAACATTTACATTTCTAGTAAAAAGACAAAACCATTCGTTTTACAAAATTAACTACAGAACAGTTTTTGATCAACAGGAACTTATCAACTAGTACAAATGAGCTGGTGAGATGGGATGACCTGGTGAGATAGTTCTTCGTAGCATTGTCGTACTGCCCAACCCCTTCAATCAAATTACAAATTTAATTTAGTTTAGTACATAATTGATTTTGCAAGTTTATAATCATCTTCCTACATTTTTCAGATTTAAGAATAACGAATCAGACACGGACAATGACTGAAAATATATTTTTGTATAGCGATAATGTGTTATTAATACAATTATATTACATAAAAATTACTGTGACGATGGGTTTTAATTTTGAATTTAATTTTCAGGTTATTTTTTTATTTTTAAGGTTTTAAAAACACTATGTCTTCTTACAAAATGATTTTGGTTTTTGAACGGCATGCTGTCAACTGTCATCTGTCATTCTGTCATTTCAGAGGAAATATTCACAAAAACAAATTGCGAATTTAAAAATTAAACCGAAATATGAATTAAAACAAGAGCAAAATAAGACGGAAAGTAACAAATAAATGAAGTCAATTAAGCAACATGACAAACATTCGTGCATTCTTTAGAAATACTTTAATCTTGGTTGCTTTGTTTATTCCATCTGTTTTTCTGTCTCCTAACTTTTGTAAATTCAATATAAAAGTTAAGCAAACTTTAAAAAACGAAGGATTTCATAGGTAACTATTATAATAACAATGCAAGCGTGGTTTAATTCGAATAATTTCGATTATTTCATTGTTACAGAAACATTACCTATGGTATAATATTTAATACGGAGAATGATGAAAGATGGTTGTACGATGGATGTCTGGTAGGACTGACGCAAAAACTACCGGCTGGTGTGTTCGCTAACCCTGATGAATTGAGTGACTTAAGAAGAAACAAAAAGGTAAGTTTTTTTATGATATAAGGTGGCAAAAAAGCAACTGGCATCTTAATTTGCCAGCACTGTGAAGCAACCGTTGCTTAGACATCCTTTAAAAATGTTCGTTGAAGACATTTCCCCACCTATGTATCCCCATCTCTGTCAAATCCATATAAGAAAAGAGGGAGGGAAGGGAAAAGGGAAAAGGGGTCTTCCAGTATACTTTTCTACTCATTATATTTTTTGTGTGTTTTATTATCTTTTTTTTTGAAGAGATAAAGGGTTTTCTTAGAATAGTATCAAACCAAAGTAACATTTAACATTATGGTATTTTATTCCAGAGTCTCAATAAAGTAATTTTGCACTGGGGGATCGTCTTCATAATTTAAAGAAAGATACCAACATTTTAATGCAACAACTTCTATATTGATAACACAGTAGAACCTCGACAAGTTAAAGTCCAAGGGAAACACAAAATATATTAAGTTATAAAGGTTTTAAGTTATCAAATATCTATGTTGTAGAGGTTTTGGGCTCTGATGGGAAAGGAACATATTATTTTTTGAAGTTATAGAGGTTTTTAAGTTACCGAGGTTTGAGTTATCAAGGTTTTTTTTATAACATAAGGTGACAAACGAGCAAGCGGCCACCCGAAGCCGCCAAAATGGCAATGTGACCGTTGCCCAAAGACATATGCGATCGCAGATGTGTTGCCTACCCTTATCCGATGGAGGAGGAGATGCACATAAAGAGGATTGCCCCTTCCTATGCATCTCCTCCACTGTCAAATCCACTTCCCCTTCCCATCCTCTCCTTATAAGAACTTCTTGGTTGTACTGTATTACTTTAATTACATTTTACTTGTTATATTTTCCAGTTAAATGCCGCTCTAAAGAATCCTGTTAATGTGGAGTTACCAACTGAAGTGTCAACACCAAACAATGTGTATATAACTGGAAAGGTTGTTGATGGTAGAGTTAATCTCTGGCTACCAGTACACGCTAGGTATCACCAAGCTGTTGCTGGTGGAGGGTAAGTCAAGATAAGAATATTTACAATGTAACAAAAATTAACTCTGCATGAAAAAGAATTAATTTAAATAAAAATGTAAATATACAACATATTATATTAAAATTAAGATAAAAGAAAAATGAATATGGTTTATCCATATATGGCATAATCTTACTAAGTTTGTAGCCTAAACTGCTAAATGGATTTCAATGAAATTTGGCATATATGTTGAGCATAGTCTGAAAGAACACATAGGCTATTTTCTAAATAAATATTTATAATACTGTCCTATATAATATCGAAACAATATTTATTTATATGGAAATTGTATTTATGCTAACATTTTGTTTTCACAGATCAGCAAGGAATGAGATTGGGCCACCACGACTTTTCCTAGCTTGTCCAGACAAAAGGCTAGATTTATGCAATTTGAATGACACTCCGATTGTATTTCTATGTAACGGCAGCTCAAGAGAGAAATGCAAGTGGAAACAATTGTCTTATACAATGGTATGACTTTTAAAGAAGATATTTTAATATATCAACTAAAATGACAGTTTGACGGCTCCTATGTAAACTATGGTGTGTTTGAAAATCGAATTTGGAAAAACAAATGTTTAAATAATACAAATAATTGTTATGTAACTATTATAAATGTATTATAAACAACCAAAATCTACAGTTATTTTTATGTTACTTTCAAATTCAGATAGTACAGTAGATAATTGATAAGTTAAAGTCTAAGGGAAACAAATTAAGTTATAGAGGTTTTAAGTTATCACAGGTCTATGTTTTAGAGATTTTTGGCTCAGATGGGAAGGGAACATATTTTTGAAGTTACAGAGGTTTTTAAGTTACCGAGGTTTGAGTAATCGAGGTTCTACTGTAATTAGTATTTAAAAATATGCAAGGTGAAAATGTAAAATTGTGGCTTATAATAGTCTACGTAGGAGCCATCAATTTATGTTATTACACTAACATCCCAACATTGGTACTTGAAACGCACTTTATTAGTTGTTAGTTTAGTAACTCATGTCCTTGCATGGAATAAGTCATTTCACAAAATTGTAATAAGCGCCATCTATTGGCAAAATTTTTCAATTATTTTACAACTAGTGTTAGGACTAGCTGTTGCTCGCGACTTAGTCCGCATGAAATGAAAACATGGCCTGTATTACTCACTAATAATGTCGCTTTTTAATAGTGAAAGAATGTTTTAAATTATTCAGGTAGCTTTTAAATTATTTTATTATATACAAAAATACTAATCTTTCCTCTTTATAATATTAGTATAGATTATGTGAATGATGAGTAAATTGCTGTATGTGCCTCGTCTGTATATTTCATTTCTACAATGAATTACATGAAAACTTTTTTTCAGTTGACGGACACGCTAATTTGGGACGTACCAGTTGGGAATACGGACCATTATTACGTAGTCGCTATTGGGACAGCTTTTGTCATTATAATCGGGTCATTGTATTTATTAAAAGCTATACATGATTGCAAAGTTAGCTTGAAAAAGAAGAGTTCCTGATAAGCAGTATTATAAAAGTCAAACCAAAGATTAAAAGGTTTCTTGTTTATTTTTTTAAGGTTAGAAACACATTCCTAGTTGTGTTTAAATTTTTTTATATTTTATTATTAAAAAAATATAGCCTATGTTATTCAGTAAAAATGTAGCTTTTCAATGTTGAAAGAATATTAGAAATCGCATCAGTAGTTGTTGAGTTATTTCAATAAATACAAAAATTCAATATTTTTTTTATAATAATAGTTTAAAGTAGCAGTCGACTTCATCTGGCGGAATAAAAAATAGCAAGCAATTTTTTTCTTCCAGACTATATTTTACAGTTGTGCTAAATCGAGATAATGTTAATGTTTCTGAAGTAAATATATTTGTCAAAATAAGTTTTTTTTTTTAAATTGATGAAACCAATACAATAGACTAGGTTTCCCCCAATAATGCTAAGTTTTATATCTCCCTGTTTTGGAGATAAAATCTTTAATTTTAATTAAATAAAGAAGTTTACTGCTATTAAATAGGCTGATCTTGTATTGTAATTATTTCAGTAATAATTAAATGTTTTGTTGAACTTTATTGATTCTGGTTTAAATTTATACCTTATCGAAGTTCTGAATCTTTCAGATTCTGCTTTGTAAAGATCTAGAAATACAATTTTGTATTTTCCGCCATTATGATTCCTTATGTTTCATTTTCACGTAATAGATGTCGCTGTACTCAAAATCTACTTAAGAAAATTACCGACAGTAATAAGATTAAAAAGTGCCCTCAAGTAATGGAAGTATATCTCTATTTTGATAAATTTAGTTAAATATTTTAAGATTAAAATGATTACTGAGCCAACTAAAACAACGCGTTTAATAAATTTATAAATTTTTAGAATGGAATATCTAAACAGCACCATCTATTGTAGAACATAAAAACTATTATCACTTCATCCGGTGAAATGACCAAAAACGAGGAAATTTCTTATTTATTGATTTTAGGAAGTAATACACGCTTCCTAATTTTTACTTTTTATTCAATTCCCTTCTTCCATGGCAGATGTATATTATTAGAAGGGAAATTAATAAAAATGATCGGTGTATCGCTTTATTCTACTCAATAGTTTTATTTTGACAATAATACAAGTTTGTCCCAGTTTTCAAGTAGCCGGTAATTATGTGTTTGCGGAAATTATAAATGTTTGTGGCGTTTCGTTCCCTTAAATAATATCCGCTTAAATAGACGTAGGCATTGTGATGCGTGTCGTTAATGTGTAACGTGTGTCGGAGCGCACAGCGCAGCCGGGCGCCGCGGCCTGCTCCCGCCGCTGCCAGGGAGACTGTT